GGGGGGGGGGGGGGGGGGGGACTTAAAACCTAAGACAATAGTTTTCATAAATCAACATTAGTAGCATAAAGAAGAAAGTATAGAATAGAAAGAAAGAATAACAGAGGAAGAAGGAATCAAGAATGAAATGAAGGATATAAGAGAAAGAAAGAATATAAGAAAAGAAGAGAGGATATAAGAGAAAAATGAAGGATGAAAAATCAAGAGAAATAAAGGATATAAGCTAAGAGAAAAATAAATCAAGGATAGAAGAGAAAAAGTAAAGGATGAAAGAGAGAGAAAGCATGAAAGAAAAGAAGAAAGGAAATAAGAGAAGAGGAAAGGATATAAGAGAAAAATGAAGGATGAAAGAGAAAGAAAGAATATAAGAAATGAAGAAGGAAAGAGAAAGAAAGGATATAAGAAACGAATGAAAAACACAAGAAAAAGAATTAATGAGAAAAATGGATGTAAGAAAATATTGAAGGATAAAAGAGAAATAAAGGATTTAAGAGAAGGAATGGATATCAGAGAATATTGAAGGATGACAGAAAAATAAAGAATATAAGAGAAGATGAAAGATATAAGAGAAAGAAGAAAGTATAAAATAGAAAATTAAGGATGAAAGAGAAAGAAAGGATCTAAGAGAAAAAAGAAAGGATATAAGAGAAGAATATAGGAAAATAAGAAAGGATATAAGGAAAGAAGAAATAATATCAGAGAAGAAGAAAGGATATAAGAGAAAAATTAAAGAGAAAGAAAGGATATAAGAAAAGAAGAAAGGATGTAAGAGAAAAATTAAAGAGTAAGAAAGGATATGAGAAAAATTAAGAATGGAAGAAAAAGAAAGGATAAAAGATAAAAATTAAGGGTGAAAGAGAAGAAGAAAGGATATAAGAAAAAGAAAGGATATAATAGAAGAAGAAAGGGTATGAAAAAAGAAGACAGAATATCAGAGAAGAAGATTAAGGATATATGAGAAAGAAAGGATATAATAGAAGAAGAAAGGATATAGTGAAAGAAAGCATATAATAGAAGAAGAAAGGATATAAGAGAAGAATGCCGAATATCCTGTTGCTTCAAAGGATAAGATTTTACGGTTTGTGAACAGAGTTCACCAGGTCGACAAATACATTCTCACGGAGCTACTCAACCTTGTCATTCAGAACAAACATAATCCACCTCTCAAAGACGTAAATATTCTAAACCCAGAGCAATGATAATCCTAAACCCGGAGCAGTTTTTATTCTAAACCCAGAGCAATGATAATCCTAAACCCGGAGCAGTTTTTATTCTAAATCCTAAGAAGAATATATTAAAAACCCCGGGAAAAACCTAAACCTAAAGCAGATTTTAACATAAATCTTAAGACGATGTTATATTTTAAACCCGAAGCAGACTAAATTCTAAACCAGGGGCCTTTGTATCTTTGATGAAACCTACATCTGAATCTAGAAAACCATCTCCGAATCGTGAAACAAAGTAACTACGAAATAATCTTAAGTAAACGACAGAAAGCCAGGATCAAACTAAGCTTTAAATTTAGATGAAACTAGGGTTTACACGGAACAAACGTTTCATTAAATCCGAATCAATCTTAGTTCTATTGTCGCAGTAAAAAAGTTTTATCCGGAGGAAGAATAGTCCTAAACAAGGCCTAATAATTCAAACTTGAACTATCGGAGGAATTGATACCAACCCCGTAAATTTGTAAACCAGAAGTAAGGGTTGACTTGAACCCAGAGAAACTAAATCAAGATCATGCATATAACTACAAAATACCCGGAGCAACAGAAATAATTGGATATCAAGATGTCAGCCTATATTCTACTGTCTAGAGAGTCTAGATGATAACAAAGAAAACAAAGAAAGAATTAACTCTATCACAGAATAAAAATGTAAATGTAAACTTACCCCGGTCTGATAAAAAATCTTGATATTATTGTTTGTATGTTTAGAAAAACGGGAATAAACACTATTTGGATGTTGTGAATCCTCATCCATTAATATATCTTCAATATTTCTTGTTGTTATCACTGTAAATCCTGCTACCAGGAGAAAGGTTGTGATCTGCGCTGAGAATCCCATGATTAAAGGTTTGTTGGAGCTCCACCACTCCTAGCGGCGTCAGATATTTATTAAGACTGAAGAAATGAGGAAAGCAACAGTTGTGCTGAATGAATGAATGAGGGGGGCTCGGACCGACCGAGCTGCAGCGTCGAAATCACTAGGCGCGCGTGCACATGGGAGGACGCTCAGGGCTCTATAGCAAGATCTGACCCGTGGCGAGGTTTGTTTGACCTGAGGTATCGGTGATAATGTCTCCAGGATAGATAAAACTACCAATCCTAGGTTGAGAGGAACCATCAGAGATAAAATCTAATCAGTTTCGACTCATCCTATCTTAAACTCTCATCATCACCACCTAGCTCTTCTTATCCACAGGAGTTTCCGGCTCTTCAGCTCAGCTCTTCTTAACTAAAGATCTAACAAATCATCTAAAGCTCAAGGTTTAGAGATCATCTTACATTTATATTGATTCTGTGCACCTGACCCAACCTTCTTGATCCTTCTCCTCTTTAATCTGAACCCAACTCTTCTTCTACCTGAACCCTACTCATCTTAGCCCTGAACCATACTCCTCTTCAACCTAAACCCTACTCCTCTTCAACCTGAACCTTACTCCTCTTCAACCTGAACCCTACTCTTTTTCTATCTGAACCCTGCTCCTATTTAACCTGAACCCTACTCCTCTTCAACCTAAACCCTACTCTTCTTCTACCTGAACCCTACTCTTCTACCTCAACCTGAACCCTACTCCTCTTCAACCTGAACCCTACTATTCTTCTATCTGAACCCTACTCTTCAATCTGAACCCTCTTCAACCTGAACCCTACTCTTCAAACTGAACCCTACTCCTTTTCAACCTGAACCCTACTCCTCTTTAACCTGAACCCTACCCTTCTTCAACCTGAACCCTACTCCTCTTAAATCTGAACTCTACTCCTCTTTGCCCTGAACCCTACTCCTCTTCAACCTAAACCCTACTCCTCTTCAACCTGAACTCTACTCTTCTTCAACATTAACCCAACTCCTCTTCAATCTGAACCCTACCCCTTTTCAACCTGAACTCTACTCCTCTTCAACCTAAACCCTACCCTTCTTCAACCTGAACCCTACTCCTCTTAAATCTGAACTCTACTCCTCTTTGCCCTGAACCCTACTCCTCTTCAACCTAAACCCTACTCCTCTTCAACCTGAACTCTACTCTTCTTCAACCTGAACCCTACTCCTCTTCATTCTGAACCCTACTCCTCTACGTTTGTTATTCAATCTCATTCATTTAAAATTCAATCATCATTCATTCTTGCTTTCATTAATCTATTTACATATTTATTTCTTTATCCATTCAATTATTCATTAAGCATTCATTTGTATCGTTTAATCTTTCATTCATTCATCTGTGTAGCATTCATTCAGTTTAGTGTTGGAACATAGTTGGAACATAATGTAAATCTGCAGATTGATTGATTTAAGATTAAATCAATTAATGAATGAAAACCGGAATTATTGAGGAGAGTCAGAAGTCATAAATTACAGCATTCTTATACCCAGATATTGATCTTGCTCTAAATGACGGCTTATAAAGAATATTTTTATGTACTTTGTAAAAATTTTAAAGCTTAAAAAACGTTTCAGGAGAAGGAATACGGGGGTTGGCGGGGGGGGGGGGGATTGTTGATTCTATTGCATAGTGTAATCATGGAATGGATTGAATATTATTAGAACGAACGATTTTCGCGAAAATTTGAGAATGATAAAAATGGCAAGAGTAAAAGTTAAAAGTTAAAATTGTTTTTATAAAAGGTGGCGCGAAGCGTCCTAAAAGCCTAGTAGTTAGGGAAACAAATAATAATTAATGCAACTAGTTGTTTAGGAATATAAGATTGAAATCACTGTTTTCAATGGATTCATATTTTTAACAAATCTTAATTTATAGCTACCGTTGAAGGCGGGATAATTTGAGACTGCCTTTACCGCCATCCCGCCTTAGTCCCATCCCCGCCCCTAGTGTCTCCGCCTACTTTTCCTTCTGTTCTTCCCGCCACCTCTTACCACCCTTCACACACAACTTTCTCCGCCCACTTTTACCCCCCCCCCTTCTCGTCACTCTTCATCTCCTCTAATTGACCCACACACCTTCCCCCCCCCAAACCCTGTGCCCCCTTTCTACTCAATTTTCTTTGACGCACGATGATGACAATCTTTTTTTTAAGAGGATCCAATCAATAGAAAGTAAATATAATTACATTTTGTGGAGTAAGATTAGGAGTAGGAGCAGGGGTAGAAATAGGAGTAGAAGTAGGAGTAGGAGAAGGAGTAGGAGTATGAGTATGAGTATGAGTATGAGTATGAGTATGAGTATGAGAGGGGGGGGGATAATCTTCCAATTTCCTCTAAAGATTGGTTGGGATTGTTCTTTCTTTGTCTTCTTTATATTTCCACGGAGTATTGTAGAACTTTAATAACTCATCAATTCAAATTCAAATTACTTTTCATCAAATTCCGTTAAAACTACGCGTATAATCCAGTCCTCGGAATCGGATTCTAAAGCGGAAATTTTCATATTTGTTTGATGCACAGAGGATAAGACAGTTTCCTATTTTTAATGCCGGGTTTGACACACATCTTTGAAAAGCAAAAGTTTTGAAACTAAAATCACAATTTTATTTAAAGTTTCCTTCATAAATTACCGGAACAAAGCAGACCACATTTTGGAAATGCGCAAACATAATTGAAAATGATTGAAAAATGTTGTAGTTTTTAATAAATGTTTCAACCCGTCATTTATAATAAATTTGTAGATATATAATTGCTTTATTAAATATTTTTTTTCATTCATTAATTTACAAAATGGCACCTCCCTTCATTCACCACCTGAGCTAGAATATAAAATGGATTCTGCTAATCCCCAGTTCCGGTGAATCCCTAGATTCATATGGATTATGGATTATGGATTATTGAATTTAAATACGAGTTTTGATAAACTTTATTTCGGTATTTTTCATATTTATCAAGATTTTCGCTTCTCATTGTTGAATTCACTATATGTAGATTTTTAAAAATTCTTCCCATAAATATATTTGTGCATTTTCCAAGCCTTATTGTTGATGTTTAGAAAAATTTATTTTCTTTTTTACTTTTATCCTTAAAGGGGAACTCTAAACTTAATTTCAATTGAATCTTCATTTATGATGTGGCGTGTCCGATTCACAACATTACCCCATATACTTTAACTAAGACACTATGAGGGAGAAATCGTCGTTTTTATCTGGAACAGTGTTTAAATCTAAAAATATACTTCACTGTCTCCGCAGCATAAGTCCGTATGCAACTCTTGCCGAGAAACCACAACTAAAATGATAGATTTTCAGTTAGAAAAATACGAATATGTAATTTTTAATCACATCTCAGATCTACTTGCTGTTCTTTAAAATTATTCTATTGATCTTCAGTTAAGCGAAATTCCTTTTAAACGGAAAAACTTTTTTGAAACTTTATTAGATGGTGGGAGGGGGAAGGGGTCAAGAAGTTAACAAATCCTATTCCAGTTAACTTGTGAGAGAATTAGGGTGATATATGTTTGGGGGAGGGGGGGTTGATAATTAATTGGAAGGACAGAGTTTAAATGATTCCCAAGATATTTGTATGTACAAGGTTCAGGAAACGGGGTTCGGAGAACAGGACGAACGGCTCCGGGATGTGTGTTGAGGAAGTGATAAATATAGGATCCTAATAAATCTACATATGATGAATGGTTTATATAATGAGTCTAGACCCCGGGCCCAGGTTCAGGATGGAAGAGAAGGTTATGCTAAAGTTTATTTTCTCACGATTTTTTAAAAATTCAACTCATCTATTCCGTCAAAAATGCATTTTTAATGTTAAACAATTAAACATGGTTGAATAACTTAAAGAATATTTGGTAATTAATTCTTTCTTGTAACCTTTCTGCATCTACTTCTTGCTTTTTTACTAATATATCTCTTTCTCTTTCGCCATTGGTGAGATCTCGATTAATATTTTCTCTATGTATCGCCATTGCTCTAATTCTCGTAGAGCATGATGTTTGCTTTGGTAGCGATTTTCTCTCTCCCTTTTCATTTTCATTCCTGCTTTTTTATCTAAAACCTTCTTTTACTTCTCTTTTCTTTTTTATTGATAAAACTTGATGAAATGCCAAAAATCAATTTATCTCGGGTTCTATAGCGATATTTTTTATATATGTATAATCCAGTGTTGCCATATCTTTACATTTTTATTAAATTTATGTTACAACATTATATACTATCTATTTATGACATTATAATGGGTATTATTAAGTGCGAAAAAGTTTTTGCTGGATTTATTTTTTTATTTTTTCCAGTTTGTTTAAGATCAAAATAAAAATATTTTCACACCGAACGTAGAAAGGAGAGAGAAAATCTTCGAGAAGAGAGAGTAAAGAGAAAAAGATATATTAGTAAAAAAGCAAGAAGCAGATGCAGAAGGGTTACAAGAAAGAATTAATTACCAAATATTCTTTAAGTTATTCAACCATGTCTAATTGTTTAACATTAAAAATGCATTTTTGACGCAAATGGTGCGTTAAATTTGAAAAAAAGCGTGAGAAAATAAAGTATAGCAGAACCTTCTCTTCCATCCTTAACCTGGGCACGGGGTCTAGACTCATATATAAACCATTCATACTTTTTCGCACGCATGATACCCATTTCAATAAAATATAAAGTTTTATTCAGTTTTACTTAAATTACTTAAAAGCAGGTCGATAAAGTTACTTAACCACCCTGTTGTAGGGTGATTAAGTAACTTTGTCACCCTACAATGATAAAAATTAGGTATGAAATTTGAAATTTTAATAGCAGGGTGAAAAAGTTACTTTTTAGAAAAATATGAGGCTTTTTAGAATTTTAAATTAGAATTTTTCCCCCATTATTGATAAAATAAAGGTTTCAAGGGGCTTTCAATCGGACATTGCCATCTTTCATTGAGGGTCACCTGAAATTTTGCTTACAATCCCTTTAAACCATTAAGTTTTTTACAAACACTCCCTTTAAGTTTGCATATTTATGTACGCCGTACGGTGGATACTATTTTGCAGGAATTCTTTAATATTTATA